TGCAACTGGAACTGGAGTGTTTTTAAAGAGATGCAGAAGCAGATGGGGGGCCGGGGGGAGGGAGAAAAAAATAAAATAACGTGCAGCTCGCTTTCACGCTGAGATATGCAAGTCTGAGAAACGGCTCCATAAAGCCCGTAAAAAGTGCGTCCCCAGTGACTGCTGAAAGGTCGGTGGGGGGCCGAGGGGGACTGTAAGGGGAGGCCCCTAATAAAGCAGCACTACTGTCAAGGTGTGCAGAGTTGTGGTCCAGCCCTCTGCTGTTTTAACGGCGCTGGAGCTGGCTGTATATTCTTATACAGACAGGCTGCTGTGTTCAGAGTCAGGCATGCAAACATGTTGCCTACATGATTAAAAGCAGCTTGGAGGCTGTGGTTTGTCGAAATGCCGTGTTTACGGTTGTTATTTTGTCATAGCACAGCATAAACATTTTTTGAAAAAACTAAGTAATTATTATGAGGGTTTATAGAGTCTTTCCTGAGAGTTTTACAGTGTGTTCCTTCAGCCTCTTCAAAACCTCGAATTTCGATTCTGATGCGAAAGTTTCGATGTGTGAAACAAAAGATTCATTCATTCGGTTGTTGTGAAAAGGGGGGGGACAGACAGAAGTTATTTTCCACCCAAGACTCGACTGCTTGCCAAGCTTTTAGACGATTTGATTCCACCTGTAATGTTCATGCAAAGGGGTGTGAAACTCATCCTGGGCCACATCGAGATCATGAGTTTCCTTAAAGTTGCCGTATGTAACTTTACAAGCATCTAAAAAAAACTTATTTTTTTTTTGTAAAACTGACCCCATGTCATCGCAGTATAAGATGAGAAAGAAAAGCGGAGAAGAAAAAAGAAAAGTCAACTTCCTCCTTGAGTCGCAACTTCGAAAACGCACTTTCACTTTTTCACGGTTTTTATTCATTTCAAAGACAAAACAGTTTTTGTAACTCGTCACAATTTTCCCATGTTACAAAATACACAAGGCAAAGCAAATGAAATACATTTTCCCTGACATCAACACATCATTTACAGATATTTGAAAGATGACTTGATCAAATTCCAGTGAAATATTGATTCAGGAGGCTGAATAGAGATGAACTGAAAGTGATAGGGATTCAATTTGAGGTCCGCAAAAGTTCCACTGAGTGTGAAAGCGTCCCACGTTGCCCTGCAACAAAACGGAGCCCCACAGTAACAAAGTTGACGCGATTGGTTCTTTTTCAGTCGTCTTTGTCCCATTTCTTCACATTCAGTCGACCGATTTACCTGGCAGGCCTGTAACGTTCAGGTATTTCATGGTTTTGCGGCCTGCGTCCATCCACCGTTTCCAGAGCCAACAGGATATCAGGCGGTCATTGACGGAATTGCCCGACGCGTTGATCGCCTCGCTGGTGCAGCGTCGCCTTACGGTTGATGCCGTAACAAAGTGAGCTGCTCTCCAGTTCAATCCGTGGCTAACAACACCCTGTCGTTAAATAATTACACGCTGAGCGTTTTGTACCAGGCTGAAGTAGGCACAGAGAAATCCCCCAAACGGCCTCTATTTATAGTGACGTTAGCTGCGGTTTTGCTGAGCTAGACGGGGGAGAGAAAAAACAAAGAGTCCATCTTTTTCTGCGAAATAGTCTTGAGTTGGAAAATATACGTATAAAAAACACTTATGGTTGCAATATCTATGGCTTGACTAACATGTTCACTGCTTACGTAAAGCAGTAGCCAACAGGAAAACAAATTATGCAAGAAATCGAGTTCATGTTTCACTTCTGTTACATGAAAAGAGAAGAAAAAGGAATACGAGAGCAAATTCAGTCATTGCAAATTATAACAGGACTTAGTGATGAAATACTCCTCGTCTGCATTGGCCGAAAGACAAGATCCTGCTGTGCAAACAATAAAGGATTGTGAATCAATAAGTCGCACAACTTCAGGGACTTCTCTTTAAGGTGGGTGAAAGTCAAAGTTTTCCGCTCCTTAGAGCTCCGGGTGTTCCTTTTCTGATAATGGAGCATTGTCCAAAAATATCCAAACATCTTCTCCTGCTTTTGACCGGTGGAAAATGTGGCTTTGTGTTTTCCTGCAAAAGAGACACACCAGGTGGTTTCTGACGCAAACTTAGGTTTCCTCATAGGAATGGAAAGACGGGGAGGCGGCGAGAGACAAGCAAAGGTGTACGCTTGTGTCATGGCGATCCCTACTCTCATGCCACAATGGACAGGTTCTCCATTTGTGCTCATGAAAATTTCCTCATGTTCAATTTCAATTACCATTCAACTGATAATTACTTCACTACATGAATAAAAGTTTGGGCTTCCAGTCCAAGATGGAAAACAAAAGGTGAGACAAAAAAGTGACTTACGTTCTCCTGGCACACTCTTCTTCCCAATAGCATGCACTATTCAAAACACTTAAAAGTTTCATAACATCAGAGTTTCAAACAGCTGAATATAATTAACCTTTTTTTTTCTCCCCTGAAGGCAACGGAAACAAATCGAGCCAGAAAAGAAAAATGCCAGAAACGCCAGAGATCACGCTCGTTCCTTTACTCCTGAATCTCGGGGAACGATCAGACGATCAGACCGAAGCTCAGCTGGGCTTTTGGAAACCGTGAAGCGCGGCGTGCATTTCTTTGTTAGCGCACTTGCACATGAAAGACCTCCGCTCCCCAATTTTTCAGGTTCAGCCTGGAGGCTGTTGTGCAATTAGCGCTCAGCTTTCATTTCGAATAGCTTTGCCTAAGCGGAAACCCTCCGACCTGTTGGAAACGCTAACGAGACGACGGCCGTCCAGGCTCGACATTTTGAAAACGAACGATGCGGAACGGGGGTAATTTGTCGAGGATGCAAAGCGGGATGTGTCGAATTGTCAGTTTGACCGGATGTTGCCCAGCTTCTCCAAAGAGTAGCATGGCTGAATGCGAGACGGATGCTCCGTCGCTGTGCTTCTGTCGCTGATGACAGAGAGGCTTTGGATGAAAATGCAAATGCCTCTTAGTTGAATAAAGGAATGTGCAGGATGATAGCAGGGTGGCTTTCCTCGTTGCCGACATCAAAAGGCTTTTCCTCGCTTATATTTGGCAAAGACTATGGATGGGGAGTTTTATATGAAGAGAGAGAAACAAAGGACAAACTGAAAATGTCATGAAAATTTCTCACATGGGAAAACAAGATCCTAACTAGGCACAGATGTTCCCAAGGGCTTACTAGTTTTGGAAGAAAACAAAAGTTAGCCACTGAAAAAGTCAAGATGGCCGCCATGGCCTTCAAGGATAAATCAGTTTTGCTCTAAAGTTGCCAATATTTGTCACAGATGAATGCTTTGGTTTCAGGTCATACACAATGCAGCCCATAGAAATCATATTCACTTTTAACTGTTTGATTTTCTTTCGAGTCGGCCACTGGGGTTGTCATGCAAAATACTTTGTTGCACTAAACTTTCCAATCAGCTGAAGGAGTCTGGCGTAAAATCACAACCTATGTGTTTTGAGCCACATAAATCATATGTAATTACTTCATTTTGTGCCCTGCCAATTGCCTAAAATTGGCAGGGCGAAGAAAACAAAAAGTTAGATTCACTAAACACTAATCTGCTAAAGAATCCAGGCGCTGCTATCGCTAGCGGCTAAAACAGAAAATTAGCAAAAGCTAACGCTAATCTTCTTCCTGTTAACGACTGGTTTGCGACTAACGGCAGACCCCTCAGCTTCAGATCTTGATACACATTACTTGGAGTTGTGTGAATAAGATGACCAAAGTCCAAATGAAAATGTTTTTTGGGGCAATAGAAAGGCTCAAAAGTGGAAGCTATCTTTAATAATTGTCAATGATCCTGAATTTGAAGTAGATAATGAGAAATGTGAAAGGAATACGACCTGAGGGGTGAGAATAGATGTATGTTTGTATGCAGATTTGAAAGGTTTTTGCAGTAATATGCAGCACTATGAAATGGCAGGACAGGATTGATGTACAGCACAGACAGAAACACTTTGGCTTGAGCCTTGGGAAAATGTCATTTTTCCATGAATTGATACGGATGAGGAAGTTATATGATCTTATGTCGTCCTGTGCTGGATGCTTTTCCAGAGACGGTTGGGTCCGAGGGGTTTCTGTTTTATGGCGTCGAGCCAAGACTTTTTTTTTTTTTTTTGCCAAATTTCTGCGTCTCAGGGAACATTTTGACCCTCAGTATCTCGCAGGAATGTCCTTAACTTTTATAAATCACTGTCTTGATCTGCTTCGCTGTTCCAAAATATTCTAAAACCACCGGACTTATGGATTCAGAAAAGTATTTCCTACGCATCACAGTGACTTTCTGTGTCTCGAGCTATCACCTTTGTGAGGGCAAAGCAGGTGGCTCGTTTAAACCCTCCCTTTTACATCTCCTGCTAAGAGAGTGGAAAGTCTGAGCTGAGGAAACTGGGTCTTGGAAGCTGTCCATTTTCATTTTCAGACCATGTGCGCTGGTAATTAATTGACTTCCTCCCTGGTTTACATTTTGTCAAGCGCTCCAAAGAGCAGAAACCGAGGCAGGTGGCTGAATTAGCATATCCCTTGAAAACGAAGCAAGTCGAGCCTGGGAAATCCCAGGCCCCGGCATTCTATATTCCCGGAAAACCTCCACAGGGGTAAAGACTGATGTCTCAGTCAGAGAACGCCTTTGAGGCCGGGGACCCTCCTGTTCAGCCGCGCGCAGCTAGAGGCTGTGTGATTAAGCAGAAATCGGGTCGCGTCAAATGTGAGAGCCCCCCCAAAAAATGTTGGCCTAATTGGTTTCTCTAATTGTCAGATTTTTTTTTTTTTTTTAGTCAGAGAGCTGCCAGTCAGCAGCCGTCAGGTGACTTCATACAGCGTCATATGCAGGGGTCCTTTTGTTTTATGCACCTGAATTTGCCAAAAACGAAGCAACCGGTCAGCTTCAACGGACAAAACATAAAAAAAGTGGTTAAAAGAAAATTAACTGTTGTTGAATGCTTGGTTAAAGTAATGTCTTTTTTTTTCTGTCATGTTTTACAGAATCCTACTTTGGGGACAGCCACTGTAGCATAGCAGTCGTCCAAGATGTCTCAACCTTCCAGCTCACTCTGAAATTCAAAACGAGTCGCCGAAGTGGTCTTCTGCTCCTGGCTGCGGGAATGGAGGACTACCTGTTCCTGGAGCTGCTAAATGGGAAACTGCAGGTGAGGTTCAATTGGAGCAGAAGGAATACTCCGTATGTTATTGGGAAGAGAGTCATGTGGAAACATAGGACAGCCGATTAAATCTGGAGTTTTTTCAAAAAGGTGCACAGGATTATCTGCTGTTTCATCTGCCATGCTATGCTGACAGATAGGACAAACGATACATGCACACGCTCATGGGAAAACGGGCTGGCGTTGTCTAAACACTCTTCTCCGCACAAAAACATTTCCAAAAATCATTTTTGTCAGCACAGAAATTCAGAGAGCAGCCCAAAATGCAGTTTTCACCCTGAAATCTGTTCTTAAGGGGGAAAAAAAATACTTTTTCAGAACTTACCCACTTTAAATGTCACGTTTAACCTATTTCAGTGAATTGCAAATCAAAAATAAGCATGGAATTAAAGTAATGTGGAGGCATTAAGGTGCACACTTTCTTATGACCAGGGCTGGGTTAGGGTTAGGGTACTGTATAAAGGACTTTGTGCCTCTCTCCATCATTTAAATTGCCTGTGATTGAGCTTTAATAAAGTCCAGCTGTTCCTGTGAGCTTTTTCCTCATGCAGAGACCCTCCACGGCATTAGTGGGATCTCGTTGTCAAAAGTGATCAGTCAGGAAAAGGTTGCAAAGCAAACAAAAAAAAAACAACAATTCGACGGCATTAGATACATGGTATACAGGGAAGACAGAAGTAATCAAATGCAGAAAATATTTCAGTGACATTATCAAGACTTATACGTCGGTCTGGAAGTGATTAAGAATCCGGGGAGGGGAGGGAGAGAGAACATGTCAGGGAGGAAGCCAAGAGGCTTACAGAGCAACACTGCAGGAGCAGCAGGAATTTATGACCTGTAATGGCTGTGTAATACAGTTAACTATCTACTATATTCTTTATATATGTGTGGACTGTGAAGACGGTTGACAAGGCAGAAGTCTTTTCTTAAGAATAAAAAGCATTGAATTGCATATGGATGTCTGAAGTCACAGGAGGAGGTTTGATGAAAACACGGTTGAACTTTTTAACCTAAAGTTGCGTCAATTAAACACAAGACATCACAAGAAAAGGAAAGTACCCCACGTATTTCACACAAAGTGCATATACTTTTCATGTATACTCTACATGCAGACCTCAATTTATGAATTAATAGTTTTTATATTGCCGTTTTATATTCGGTAACGACTGTAGTTTGCCATATAGAAAAAATATAGATCTGGAGTTTCTTAGTGACCTTCTTTTGTCCTCTTCCCATAGGCACGAATGAAAGTGGGCGCTGCAGAAGACACGCTGTCCTCTTCTCAAGGAGTGCAGTTGAACAACCTGAGGGAACACCAGGTGTTTCTGACGTTGCAAGACGGCAAGCTCACCATGACGATAGACGGTCTGTTTTCAACATTCGTCCCTATGGATGTTGGTGGAGAAAGGCTAAATATCGACCGCGGCCTTTGGCTCGGAGGAACCGGCGACCTGGACACTCCCTATCTCAGCAACGCCATCCCACCTTTCCGTGGCTGCATTACCGACGTTAAATTCGAATCCCACCAGTTTAACATTCTCAGCTCGGCATTCAAGCAGTGCCAAGACACCAAGGAATCGTGCAGCAGTGAGTTTGAGCATTCAGACGGGGAGGCAATCAGTTTCAGCACTCCAGATTCCTTTGTGTCTTTCCCTACATGGAGTGGATCCGCTGGGGCTCCGAGGTCACTGGAGTTTCTAATGAAAACCACCATAGAGGATGCTTTACTCGTCTTCCACCATGGCCAAACGTCAGACTTTATTGCTATCGGTGTTGTAAAAGGCTATCTCAAAGGGGTTTTGGATCTAGGAGAAGGTTTAAAGTCACTTGAAAATACACAGGTGCAGCTGGATGATGACCAGTGGCACAGGGTCAAGATTCAGGTTAGCCCGGATTCTTTTGTTCTCATTATAGACAGCCAGTCATCCTCCATTTCTCTCGACTCATCACAAAAGCTGGATTTGGTAGGAAATCTGTATTTTGGAGGCATCCAGAAGAAGATGAAGGAAGTATTTAGTGAAAGTGGGTCCTTGAATCGTTTTGAGGAATTCATCACATCTGAGTCTTTCATTGGATGCTTTGGGGAAATTAAAGTAAATCAACGCGACAAAGGTCTGCAGGATGCTTTGGTGACCAAAGATGTCCATATAAAATGTGAAGGAGACGACTATGACTACTCAACTTATGCAGATCCTGATGGACCCACCACTTCCTCGCCCATCGTTGATTTCGTAACTCAGTTTGTTGAACCTCAATTAAATGAGCAAGAATGTTTCCCGACCGATTCTGAACGTGAGGTGTTCAGAAATGTAACAAAACTTCTCAACATCTCCACGCTGCGAGTGTCTGATGGTGAAGAAGCCTATCTTGACATCAACAACGTGAGACCCACGTTTGACCTCAGCGCTGCTGGGATAAGCCAATCACAAATTATCTTTACACTCACCGATGATCCTTGGTATGGCCTGGTTGATGTTAATGTCAATAGAAACATGGAAAAATTCTCTCTGCTTGATGTGGTCGAAAAGAAAATCAAGTACATGCATGATGGAAATGGAGGAACCAGCGATAAGATCTCCTTATATGTGCGTGTTGTAAGTAATAGCTACCTTCCAGAGTGTCTGAAACATACCCACAGTTACTCGATTCCGGTGGAAATTATTCCAGACAGGGCCTCACCGGGATTCACTGCAGAAATTCCTATCACAGAAAAGGGAAGATCTCATTTGAGCCCCAGCCTTCTTAAAATGAGTCAGTCCGTCTCCAATTGTGACCAGCTTGTAATAACTGTGACCACGGCTCCCTCATTTGATTTTGGTTACCTGGAAAATAGTCAGCAACCAGGAAGAAGAATCTCAGAGTTTACATGCCGAGAACTGGAAGATGGAAATATCTTTTTTGTACACAAAGCAGGCAGTACCAGTGAAATGACCTTGAAAGTGTCGGACGGTGGGTCAGCACCTCAGACAAGCACTTTTATGTTTTTGGCGATAGAACCAAATGCGGTCGTTGTCGGTGCAAATCGCCTTAGCGTAGTCCAAGGGAGCAATGCGTCAATAGGGATTCAGAATCTGCCTGTCATCCCTCATCCTCGTAATGGGGATATTTTATATATCGTCACACAACCTCCTGTGTTAGGAGAATTAAGAGTTAGGGGAAGTGATGGCATGTACACGCAAGTTACAAGTTTTCATCAGTTTCACCTGGATCGAGAACTAATTAGGTATTTTAGCACAGATACAGACAGCCATGAAAACTCTCAGGTGGATAACATTCTGTTCGACATCCAAATGGGAGAGTTTGTTCTCACAGACAACCTGTTCCGAGTTCAGATCCAGCCTTCCAAAGTGAGAGTGTCATATCTGGAACGTCTGGAAGCCAAACCTGGAGAAAAGCAGATGATCACAAAGCTTCAGGCTGAAGTGCTGGGCAAATCCCCAAATCCACAAACAATTAAATACATTCTTGTGAAGTCTCCGACACATGGTAGTCTCCAGATAGCAGACAAAGAGTTGAACGAGGGTGACATGTTCACACAGAAGGACATTTTGGACAATTCTTTGAGTTACATAGTGCAAGGATTTGTGGACACTAGTGACCAGTTTCAGTTTCGAGTCTTTGTTGAGGACCAGTACTCTCCATTATACAGCTTCCCAATAAGCATACTTGATGGAACGGATGACTTTGTTTTGACAAATAAGCATCTTGTTGTTTTACAAGGAGGTGAGCTAGCTTTGAACAAAAACTACCTCTGGCTTCAGTCTTCAGTTTCCCAGGAAATTTTGTACAAAGTCATTCAAGAACCAAAGCATGGACGCCTTATCAGGGATACCCCAGGACTGCCTAGATTTGATGGGGCGGTTAGATATTTTAGTAATGAAGATCTTGAACATGGTCGGCTGATTTACAAGCATGATGGCTCCAAGACTACAAGCGATGAGTTCCACTTCTCAGTCACCCAGCAAGATTCAGACAGTCCAAAAGTGGTGACAGGTATCTTCAAGATACAGATTCAATTCAAGAACGAGCACGTCCCAGTGAGGATAGTGGACAAAGTCTTCAACGTGGTCCGCCGGGGTCAGCGTTTGCTCACAACCGACGTCATTCAATTTAAAGACGACGACTCAAATTTCAACGACACTCAAATTGTCTATGCCAGAGAAGGGATTCTTTCGGGCAATATCATGTTGACGTCCAATCCGTCGCAGCCAGTTTTCCGTTTCACACAAGCCGACCTGAGGGACAAGAACATCTTATTCGTTCATCATGGAGCAGATCAAGAACGGTTTCCCCTGCAGGTTTCAGACGGCTTTCATAAAACCACCGCAATGCTTCAGATCCAAGCTGGTGAGCCCTACCTCCAATTGGTGAACAACACAATGATTGTCATTGACCATGGAAGTACCAAGACCCTCGATACCAGCCTATTGAGCGCAGACTCCAATATGGATATCAGAGAGGATAGCGAGATTCATTTCGAGGTTACGTCCCCACCCAGCGATGGCAGGATTATTGTGAGTGGGATTGAGGCTTCACAGTTCACCCAGGAGGACTTGAAAAAGGGAGTTGTCTCATATGAGCACAATTATGAAAGCCTTAAGACCAAGGATTCCTTTGGTTTCACAGTGCGAGCAAAGGGACTTTCTGAAAAAGGCACATTTGAGATAAAAATTCCTAATCAAGGTCACCTTTCAGAGCCAGAGGTCATAGCCAATGAGGTCATCATTTCTTATGAGGGAGAGCACACCATAATCAGCGGGGATCATCTCAAGGTAATCTCTACAAACTGGAGAATTACAATTGGTTGAAAAAAATCCCAACCTTTTACTAATAGTCCTAATATCTGGAACTGTTACTGTTCTTCATATTAGAACGTACGTTTTAGTTTCATTTCCATAAATTATGTTTTTCAATCAATTTTAATTAGCGCTGTCAACATTAACGTGTCAATCTAAAACGTTAATCACATGCCCTATTATGACCTGAAAGCCCCTCTCCTGTTGACGTTTACCCAGTTCACAGTTTACTTGGCCTTGCACTGTGTTCAGTAATGCAGAGACACAAACCCGAAAAGCGAAAAGAGGCTCTAGTTAACATTTCTAAATTGCATTTGGAACAAAATTACTTCTTTTAAACTTCTTTGAATATGAAAAACCCGGAAGACTGATGTTTTGTCTGATGCAATAAAACTCACATATTTTGAAAACATGAGAGTGTGATTAATCTGATTAATATATTTTTTCAAAAATTGATTGACAGCGCTAATTTTAATGCAACGTGGCAACGATTACAAGAAACATGTTACTTTCCTTTGGCCCGTTGAAGCTTTCTTGAACGCTGAATGTGTCAGACGAGGCATTCGAGTGACTCCTGGAGAAAACTTTGCCATTTCGTAACCCTGCTTCTAATCTGCCACATGAAAGCTGGAGCTGATGTGACTGCACCGCTCCTGCTTTTAATTTGACATACGCACTAAATTGCAGTCTGTTAAGTGTGGACAACGGAGCACCGAGTATCCCCACAGGAGCTTCCTGAAGCCTGGCGCTATTTCTAAGATGAGCCTGCATGCACTTCATCCTAAAAGCAATTAATGAAGTTTAAATTGCTGGTCCGGTCATAACACACTCTGAGTGCATCTTTGTATGTTTTGACTTTCGGAATAATGAGAAAGCTTTTTCGGAAAGTAAAAACGTGAATTTCCACAACCGTTTCTCAGTTTAGTTCTGCAGTATCGACCTGTGGATGCCCAAACCACTGAAGAATTCATCGAGGAAAGCCTTGACAGATTGGCCCCGTTCAAGATCTGAGATGTGAATTTGACCTTTGGGAGCTTTCGGGTCCTTACTGTGACATGAATAGTAGCCTCGTCTCCTGGAATAAAAAAAAAAAATGGAAAAGAAAAGCATTAGCATGCCTGCTAGACAGGCCAAGGCCCCAGACTGCAGAGAGCAGATTAAACTATTTCATAGAGGGATGGGCTTTAAATCTGCCCGTGTGGAAAATCAGCAGCTTAATTGTTTCCAAATGTCACAGAAGTATTTTAAGGAGTTGCTATCAAATTTGTGTCAAAGCGCGTTTAAGCTCCTTATTGCACAATATGCGGCAGTCGTTAAGTGCAGATGAAAACCTGAACTCGACATTGCACGGTGAGGATGAACAAGCGTTTGTTCAAAGGAGCAATAGCCGCGACGTGAAGATTTCCCCACAAATTCTGCAACAAACGTTTGAAAATTAAACCGGTTTCACTTGTTTTTCTAAACCGGTTGAGACAATTTTACAGTTTACAGCCTCCTCTCCGAGATCTGATGTAGCTTTGCATTATTAATAAGATACTGAATTCCAAATCACATGTGGAAGGCTCGCTGGGGTTTCATGCTCGAGGAAGTATTTCACCTGTGTATACTGAGATAAAACATATGACAGGTTTTGTATGACTGTATCAAAATATCAACCTTACACAAAGTGTGCTCTTTGGATTTAGAAAGCAGCCATTTTTTTAAAGGGGTGAAATGTATTGTGTGAAATGTGGTGGAACTGAGTGTTTTGAGCTCATCATATCAGCTACTTCTCAGTTAAAAACGTTATTAAAGGGTTAATAGCAGAGCTCTTTCTGAAGGCAAGGATTCAGAAAGAGCAGGAGTTTCTTAAAGAGACAGTAGCCCAAATTTAAAGCATTCTATCACAAAGTCAAATTTCACTTAAAGTCGTATGAGATAAAAACAGCATTTATTTGTATAACTAGACCTAACAGTTACTTGGATGTGCTGTAAAACTATTCGACGTGGCTGGAAAACACATAATCCTACCCCTTTAAGCTTTTATCGACATTTTATGCACCTGGTTTTCTCCAACAGAGAAAATACTGATAATGTCGACCTTTGCCTTTCAGGTGAAGCAGTCCAATGTCCTTCCTACAGACATAATTTTCACACTGAAAAGATTGCCTGAACTCGGTCATGTGGTCATGCTGAAAAACAGTTCAGAGGTGGCGGCCTCCCCGGTCCTCGACTACATCCAGTCTTTCACTCAGGAAGACATCGATCTGAATCGCGTCTTCTACGTGTCTGCATCTGTGCAGGTGAGTGGGCACTCCCTTTCATTCCGCTCTCCGAAGTTGACGTGTTTCCTGCCACGTTGAAACAAAGAAATCGGAACAAGCCCCGACTCCGTCGGCCCGTCGCCGATGATTAGTAAACCGTGTCGATGTCTCTTTCAGGGAACCGACGGGTTCACGTTGGACGTGAACGACGGTTTCAGCACGCTGGAGGACCTGAGCGTCAGGGTGGACGTCATGCCGCGGTTCATACCCATTCAGCCGTCCAACTTCTCTGTCAAGGAAGGCCTCAGTCGAGCAATTAACGAGGAGATTCTGAACATCCCGCATCGCTTCTACCGCTTGGCAAACATCGACTTTTCTGTGGAAGAGCTGCCTCAGCACGGTGAAATCCGCAACCTGGCAGGAGACGAGCTCTCCTACTTTACATGGGAGGATGTAAGCATACCTACATTTCTGTTTTATGCACTCCTATTGGGAATAATGGAAACTGAAACAGTGAGATTTTTCTACTGAAATATGTTCCTAACAGGACATGAAATCCACACCAATTATTAACAGACAAAAAGACCTAAAAGCAAAATGTTGCATAAATTAAGTTCTGTATAAGGAAATGGAACGACTCATGGCAGAGGAGGTGAACATGCTAACTGCTGGGGTAGCTCCCAGGTGTTGATGTACTTTGCTCAGGTGTGATTGTTGTTCCATTGCACTAAAAGTGTCTCAGATCTCAGTGTGTCTGGGATCCTCTTCTGTGTAATCAGATTTCAGTCAGGTGATGGACTGGGCCACCCGGGCAGCTTCATTTTTCCATTCTCTTCTATGGAGTTCCCCCTGGCTGTTACCTCGGTACCATAGTCTTGCTGAAAACTCCACCCACATCATGCCTACGGATTCGTCAAGATGTTTTTGTAAATTTCTTCCTTCACTCACTCATATGAAGCCTGCCGGCGCTCAGTGTTGTGTCAGTTCATCTCAAGAACCAGTTCTTAAACTAGTTAAGAGGAATCGATTCCTGTTCGTGGTTCATCATAAGACTTTTGAACTCAAACGGCTCTACCTTTAATTATCCCTACTTCATTTTTTCATCCAGTGTCTAAAATAAGGTTTATCAGATAGTTGCATCATAAACAAAACAGAATGTGGGAAATCTCATTTGTTTAATACAGTTAATTTATGCACTAATTTTTGGGCTTCTGGGGTTTTTACCAGCATCCAGTGTGAATTTCAGGTTAACAGCCTGATTAGAAAGATGCTAACTTAGAAGAAAATGGAAGGCACTCAATACTTATGTTCCTCTTCTTATGCCTGCCGTGAGATAATGCACAGTCACAAAAACATGAGAAGCTGAAACATGTCTTCGCTAATCATTTTCTCTCACTTTCCCTTATACTTATGACATATTGGAGAACAACAAGACATAAGCTTGTGAATTCACGTGCGTGTAACAGATGTCTTTCCATTCGATTTGCAATGAGATTAACTTAAATAAATAGAAACGCACACAATGCTTGAATTCGAGGGCCAGAAACATCGTCTCGTTTTGAGAAGCAGCAGAATCCTGGTGGCTCTGGGGAGCACAACGTCTTCCTCCCAAAAACTGCATCGCGGTTGCGGCGCCACACCAAGGCGTCACGGTGAAGCTTCCCCTAGCTATTAGCAGTTAGCTCTGGTTTGAGGTTTGTCGTGCTGTAGCAGGCGGAGAAGTGAGCAGGGTTAAGGGGGGGAACCTTAACCCTGCAGCGCATCTATCTGGTCTCCCTCCGTGCGGTTGAGCCGCCCCGACTTCAGGATACCATGAAAAATGGATGAGTTCCTTCGAGTGGAAAACATCATGCATTGTGAATGGAGAACATAGTTTAGCGGAGGTAGTTAGTCACAAATATTAAAGTTCCTCCAGCCAGCCTGTATTCTCTCCCCCCTTCCTCTCTCTCTCTCCTTTTCCTTCACTGCGCCACGGTGGAAAAACTGACGGTGCCTTCGGAAAAAAAAATATATGTATAAAAATACAGTGGAAAAATGTCTTTGTCTTCTTCTGTGGAGGCAAACCTCACTGAAAAACTGCAGTACATACATTTTCACATCAGCATGAAAAAATGCCTCTCCTCTGGCAGGGAAGAAGGTTATGATATGATGAAGTCATAAATCATGAAGTCCTGCTGAAGTTATCATAGCTTACAGTAACATAAATACCAGATGGAAACATGCAGGGACAGTTACTCAAATCGGTCTTCATGAACTCCAGCCAGAAGAACGTCAAGACACATCTGGGTTAAATGTGTCGTCCTCGACCAAATGTGTCATACATCAGTCGGCTCTGTGTCAAGCAATAAAGTCATTCACACGTGCAGAAACATATGACTTCTTTGCCAAACCAATACAAGCTCTCTATTGGGTCTTCTCTGTGTTTAAGGGAATTATTTGGGTATTTTATGTTTTCATTTTTATGTGGATCTCTCAACGGGATAAAAGACATTTGATGGCATGCATCCAGGAGACGACTTATGATGCATCCTGGTCAAATCGATTTAAAAAAAAAAAAAATTGTTTTCTGGCTAAAAGTTGCTGTAGAGAAATGAAGACCAAAGTGGACTGTAGTGTCAAAACAATAGCAATTTCAAAAATGTCAGTGGTTTTATAGAAAACCTGTTTTATGAGCGTTTTGTTTGCATTGAGAGGTTGTTACCACATAGGCTAACTATTATTTATGCTGGAAATGTAGCTGGGAGGCAGCGTGCCACCCTATGATAATCCCGGGAGAAACATGTAGCTGTAAACCGCTTCCGGCCGGCGGGACCGCCTGGTGATCAAACGGTGCGAAATGAGCGAGAGACTTTAGCTGATGCTACCAGCCGAGAGAGGTTGAGCGGCTAATTCCCCATCATGCATTAGGGTTCTGCTGACATATATTGGTCACGTGTACGAACCTTGCTAACTTTTACTAATTCATTCTATGGCCCCAGTAGAAATCTAGACTACAACTGACCCACGCCGACACGCAGTTGAGTTTCTGCAAATTTACCTGTTTGTGGAACAGAGCAGCAAATTAATCATGCAAAATTTGCCTGTTTGTGGATTTGTGCAATATTCAGACAAGCAATTTAGCTTAAAAAGTTAAAACAGCCAGGGCAGATGCTCTTGATAGGCTATTGGCTGGCATTTGCAAAGCAGCCAATCCAGGAGCACCATTTCTTTTTCTTTTTCCCTGATTGGCTGTAAGGAAATAAGGAAGACTATAGACTCTGAGAGAGACCAAGACTGAAGTGGGTTTCTACTGCATCAACTAGTTAAACCAATTGAAGATCTCAAGACTATATACTGCTAGTGGGAAGGGAACAGTATGGAAAAACCTCACCTAAAAACCGTTAGGTAAAATAAACCACACAGCTTATGACAACAATTTACACGTTTAAGTCTTTATCTAAATCTGGCAGGTGTTTAACGTCCCCCAAGGTATTTATTTTCTCTGCAAACAGACTCATTGTTCAACTGATTCTTTTTTTTTTTTTTTTTTTTTCCACAGTCAGAAATAGCGGTGGAGGTTGTTAGTCCAGATTCCAGTCATATGGGATCCATTTGGCACTTCCTGCCCTGTAAAGATGCAGCCCATTGGTACTTGTTCACACAAAGTCCCAACTGTTCCCAGTGCTGTCAGGGAAAAAAAACATTTTTGAAACAAATCACCAAAGGATGCTGATATGCACGCCTTAATTTGATGCAGACCAGACTATTAAAAAACACACAAACTGAAATAGCAGGAATTGTGTGAAGAGTCAGCAGAGTCGCTTCGATAGCTACGCCCTAAAGAGAACTGCAAACTGTTCTTAGGTGCTATTTTTGCTCTGTTAGCCCATAAGAAAAGCATGAACAAATGGACTTGCGTTGTGTTTCAGTCTTAAAAAGAGGAAGTCATGAATTCAACTCACTCTTCTTCAACCTCACACATCAAGAACCTAAATGGAGAAAGGATCGTTTTCCACAGAATCCGCTGTTTCTGTATTTATACTTGAACTCTACCTGTGCGCTTTGATCGAATTAGACTAAGGTTTTCCATGACAAACCAGCCGGGTCTGAAATAAAGATTGGACACTTCAGGCTCACTGTTGAGCACAGCACAGGAATGTGTGATGCTGTGTGTGTTCACCTTTCAGAGGGGAAACAAATTTGATGCCGTCTCATTGGTAAGATGAGGTCCTATGAAGTACTTAAAACTTAAAAAAAACTTTGAAAAGAACTATCAAGTTTTATAAATATATAGTTTATTTTTGGTAAAAATTGAGGAAAACACATTAAGACGGGTCTTAAGGAAGCCCTAAAGTTTGACTGCACTGCTTGTGCCAATGACTCATTTTCTTCATAGCCGTCTGAATATCGGTATAAGATTTGATCACGGTTGTTATTCATGACCTTGTAATTTGTCAATCTGCAGAATAAATGAGACCTTTTCTTATTAAACTAGTTTTTCAGAGATATTTCACGGAGGTATGCCTGTGCACCGACCTTGTAGGCACGCACCCTGACGCCAGTTGTCATTCTGCTCCTCTATGATAACAACGCTTCAGGCTGAAGTCTAGAATATCTGCAGATGTGGTCTAATTTCAAACCTCCAAATAAAAACTTCAAGTCTTAAAAGTTGAGTGGAGCCAGAGCTACTTGATCAAATATAAATACCATATTTATACTCGTGTAAGTCAAATAATACTGTTGCATTAGCTCTTTTAAATTGACACACTGTGTCACGACTTGGGTCAGCCTCAACGCTGTGATAACTCTCGATTTTCCAGGAGCTTCGAACGCTCGCTTCAGATTCAGAATTAAGTGACAGCCGGACGCGTTTTCGTCTCCTGCAGGTGAGATCCGGACAGGTCGTCTACATGCACGACAGCAGCGAGACCACGGAGGACAGTTTCACGCTCTCTGCCTCGTCGTACGAGATTGAGCGCCGCAGCCTCCCTGTCACCATCTCGGTCACCATCATACCGGTGAACGATGAGCCGCCAATCGTGACACGCAACGCCGGCCTGGAGGTAAGGCTTCTCTCTTTGACAGTGCGCTGGCAACACTTTAGGGTAAAAGAGGCGGAGACGCACAGTGGATGGGCAACTGTTTGGTAACACGGAGAACAGAAAGCCTGTTTTCTCTCGACTTATTACACGCTTTAACATGTTTGTGGAGGTTTCCCCAATGCATTATATTACGATACACACTTGATATCAGCTTGTGCATGTTGGACTGTAAGACTGTTGATAAAACTGTCTGGTTTAATGCGTTGCCCAAACCATAAGAAACACAAAAAGGAGCAGGGAATGAATGGCCTCGTAAGAATTTATTAGGTTCTGAGCTGCAGAAAAGGAGCCCGGTTTATAACTACATGTTAGTGCTTTAAGCTTTCATGTTGATTTAGTGCGTCAAAAGCTTGGGCTTTCCACAACAAGGTAAGTGGAGCCATTGTGAAAGTGTTACACTCAAGTGAGTCTAAGATCTACTTATTGAACATTGATTTTCACAAAAATAACATCATTAAACTGAATTTGTTCACATCCAGCCCATCATAAATCTCAATTTACACCAAAGTCTTAAAAAAACTTGCTTTCTGTATAATATTACCCCTTTTGGTGCTCTTTATAGAGTAATGCTAAGAAGCCAATAGTAGCAAGGTGCTACCTCAGCTAGCTAAGCTGCTATTTGTAGCTCTTCGGCTTATTTTCACAGAATTACCTCCTTCGGATCTTGGCCAATATGTGACAGGGAATGTCTGTCTGAATGTACAGTTGACATGCTAGCAATCAAACCTCCAGAGCTACAGATACCAGGATAGCTAGCTGAGCTAATGACTCTGATAACATTGGCTTTTTCACATAACTCTATAAATGGCACAAAAAGGGGTGATGAACAGTAATCGATTAACACAGAGGTTTCAAGAAAACCTGGTAGTATTGCAACTTTTTGTGCTCTTTATGCTAAAAATGCCAATATTAGATGGGTTGTTAGCTCAGCTGGCTAGCTAGCCTGCTATTTGTAACTGGAGCTAAATGCCTTTCAGCGTACAGGAATATCTGAAATTGATTATAGAAAGTTAAAGATAGTGTTATTGCATCTTTTAGCCAAAGGCTTGTAGAATTTGATGTGATGTTGGGCAAAAGCAACACCGAGGTTTACGGTAATGGTCGACCATATTCAAATTAGTTCCTCTTATCTAATTATTCATCCCGACCTGCAAGTATAACATATATAAGCTTTTTATTCTTCTTGCAAAACAGGTTCAAAGGGGAAAAAGTCAGAAAAAGGAACACAGTATATACATATATATATATATATATATATATATATATATATATATATATATATATATATATATATATATATATATCAAACCTCAACTTAACCAAAGTTTAACTTTCTTTGTTTGGAAAAAAAGCCGAGGGATCTAGTAGATGTTTATTATGAAGGTCTTACTGCACGGTGGAAGTTCGTTAGAGTTAATTGCTTTTTTGAGTATTCTGTACGTTTTGTCATCCATTGTATTTGTTGTTATTGTGGCCAAACGCTCAGCAAGCCCAATTAATCTTTGATTTGCGTCAGTCGAGTCGTAGAAGTTTCTGAGGTTCAGTCGGGTCAACTCCACCGTTGAAGGAGGAGGGCTGTAGGAGGAGAGCGTGTGTGTGTGTGTGTGTGTGTGTGTGTGTGTGTGTGTGTGTGTGTGTGTGTGTGTGTGTGTGTGTGTGTGTGTGTGGAAGGGCTAAGGGGGGTAAAGGCAGCAGTAATCAGCTCACAAAACTGGAAACTAACTGTGTCACTCAGCCCTCCCTGCTCTCCCTGCGGCTCCCCCGTCTCCCTGGCAACCCGTATTTTTGGAAAACTCAAGATGGTCGACGAGACCGCTGCTTTCTGGCAGCGCGGAGGGCGGCATCCAAACCCTGCGACTCCTCTGCTGCGGCGGCAGAATGTAACATAATAACATACGGCCCCAGCTGCCGCTGCGCTGATTTAAAGCAGGAAGTGTATGGACATGTGTGTGTGTGTGTGTGTGTGTGTGTGTGTGTGTGTGTGTGTGTGTGTGTGTGTGTGTGTGTGTGTGTGAGCAACCTCTGCAGCAGATGATCAGATGTGATGACTTACATGGTCTCCTCAAGCTCTGTTGGTCTTAATAAAATGTTTTCCTGTGTATGAATTTAAAACGAATTTTGAATATTTGTACTTTTCGTGCTCATAAACATTAGGATGCAACTGATTTGGACCTGAAATCACAATGGAAGTATCGCTGCTGTCGTCTCGTCTTCGCAGTCATGGCAGACGCTCCTAGAACCCGAGCCCTGCTCCGGAGCCAGCCGAGATTTTGGTTGTTGCAGCTCCATTTCCCCACAGACTCGAACAGAAAGAGGAGGGGGAAAAAAGCAATACTGTCCTGTTGAGTCACCTGCAAACTAAGTCATTTGTCTGTGGCTGCAACTTCATTAGTGCCTCAATATGAAATCTCAGCCATTGTGTTCAATCAAATTGAATTTGCAATCTATCCTCTTTAGTTGCTAAATGCATTGATTGTTATATAAACCATCAATTTGTGGGACCATTTTTGGAATACCTGCCCTAGATTGTGTGGGCAGAGAATGTGGCAATGTAGCCATCTAGTGGAATATGTGGGTAACTGCACTGCAGAGACATATTAGGCAGTAAAGAAAGTAATCTCCAACGAGTGCTGGACATTACGACCACTTAGGGATGAGACTAATCATCTCTTGAACGTGGCACCTGTCAGTGGGTGGGATATATTGGACACACATCTACGCCACAAAGTTGATGCGTTAGAAGGAAAAATGGGAAAGCTTAAGGGTTTGACTGTGTCAAATCATCCCCCAAGAAAAAACCCTTGTGGGGATTGTAGGTAGCATCTATCGAATATGGCTAAAGCAAGGATGAGCAGCAAACTGGTGATAAGGTCATGCTTTTTGACGCTGGTAGGGTATTGCAGCTTACCTTTGTGGTTCAGCCCAAGAAATTATTTATTGCAGGTGACTTCCATATCCATATGTTAATGGGTATGGAAGTGAGAATGCGATCAGCATCGTTCTGGATCAGAATTAATTGATTTTTTTTAGGCAGGCCTGTAAAGACTGTTCCAGTCTCTAGGTCTTGCGGAGACATTAGTCCTTCAATCCTGGAAATGTTCTTCAGGTGACAGAAGGCCGACTTTGTAACCGTCTTTATGTGACTCAGAGTTCATTACTGCACCCAGATTTTGGGCCTGCTCACCAGTTTCTTGCTGTAATAACTGACTCTTGATCAGAACCTGTTGCTCTCTGTCCTTTATGTTGGTTTTAACCTTCAAAAAAACATCTTGGACTCGTTTTGCTTCATCGCATTAAAGAATATTAAGTTTGCCATAAAAAAATTTTTATGGCGGTGATCTTAAATTGGCTTGCCTTGAGCTGCATCAGTATAGAAAAGCTATGTTTCTTCTACTATATATGATGAACATCTATAGATGACTCACCTGGTCAAGGGTCTAGAAATGCAGTAGCTTCCTCTTTAAGGCTCACGACTTTCCAGGAATCTGACTACAACACATAATTCTCCACATTAGCATTATTTATTCCGCGTTGCCTGGAGCTCCTTCCTAAACCCGTATGAGCAGCAGCAGTTACATAAGCAGACTTGGATGAATGATGTCTGGGTTTGGTAACATTAGTATTTTTCTCCTGGTTGGTAAAGCTGAGAGACTTGCCAGGTGGCTGCTATTATCAGTTGAGTCATCTCTGCATACTGCGCCATATCTGGAGTTACTTAAAGAGCTATCTCTCTCTCTCTGTTGAAGATTTCCGTGAGCAGACGGACAAAGTACAGGAGTGCATTGAGCAGCTGTCTCGTCAAGAGATGGTGGGTGTTCTGCTGGAAGGCAAACAGAACTATTTCCGCTCTTTCTCACAAAGAGTGGAATTGGCTCAGATTGTTTGGGTTAGTCTCCATTTACCTGCCGTCTTTGTGGCCCGAGAAATAAGAAATAACTACCAGGCTGTGCATTTGTGGACTTGGGAAGAAAACAGCCCTGAAGAGATAGAGACTTCAATGTATTTTATTAAGTGGCGAAGTGGAACGTGACGCAAAAGTATCTTCCTAAATATTGTCGTACAACAATCTGAAGAGGTGCAGTGCTAATTAGCGTAATTAATTACATTAATTAGCAATTAATTATGTTAATTGCTAATGAACGTAATTAGCAATTAGGTTAATTAGTAAGTTGCACAGATATAATATGGTCGTGAGAAGGTCACAGAGGTAAACTATGTCAGAGAAAGAGAATGCCACTGAGAGAGTAAGGAACACAGCAGAAAGAGGCAGTTTTAGAGAAGAGTTAGCATCGTTGCATTGTTCAATTAATGACCAAACAAATGTATAAGTCCAGACTCAGTGGAAGAGTGGCAAGAGGAAGCTCACCGTTTAAAAAAAGCAATAAAGCGTCTGGTTTTCCGCCCAGAAACACGGTAAACTGGTCACGTGAGAGCAAATCTGGTTGCAATGGGACAAAAAATGTAAAATAAATAAATAAATGAAAAATGAATTCCTGGTGCGTACAGCTTAAGTCTTTTCTCTGCCTTTGAAGTTATAGGCACATTGGAATACTCAAAGCGATTCATTTCAACCGTCTGGCCTTTAACGGCACTTAGAAACGGTTTCAGATCAGTCTCACGTGTGGCCATGTGGGCCGGATCCCAGGATGACATTCGCGTTTGAGACATTTCAACGCTTTAAACTCCGTCAGGGGTCCCTAACAAGACAAGCTGACTCACCTCTACCTCAGAGGCTCAGAAATCAATCTCTGTTGGTTCTAATAAATAACATCCCCTTGTGTGTTACAGCAGACGGGGGGGATAATAACTACTTTTATTGGCAGCTATATATCAAGAACATTAAGAAAAACCTCATAGTCTGGTGCAAAGAGGATGGAAGAACTTTTGCTTAAGAATGTCTCTGTGCCTTTATGGTCCAAATGCAAAGATTGAAAATACTCCCGTGTAAATCGAAATGTTGCTCTTGAACGTAATTCCGACTATTGTGGCAGAAAAAACGAACGAGTACAGCCGCAGCCTTTCTTGGACCGAGCGGCGGGGCATTTGATTTCCCTTCCACTCAAAGCGCACTTGTCTTTAAGCTCGCGGTCGGTTTTAAAAGTTGTCATTAGAGCAGAACAAAGACACGATCTCGCAGCTGAAGAGAGAGAAAAGGGCCGAAAGAAGCCCAGAGTGCGTGATGATGGATTGCGGCTTTTGAACTGTTGATGCAGCGTGTCGTCACAACGGAGCCTCGATGGAGTGTGAAACTGAGCAGGATGTTTTACGCAGTGGACTGTGAGGCAACTAAATTATACACTTCACAACACATTTGTTACATTTGAGTCTGAAATGCTGTATCAGAGATGGCATGAAGGGGGTTTGGAAAGTAAAACATTTCTGTGGCTTGACAACAGCAGGTCTGGGCTGCAAAGATTAAACTCACAAAGTGAAGGAACGGAGAGGTAGCCCAGCAACGCCGTCACACGAAGTCGAGCAGTTCCTCGACAAGGCGAGCACACGTAAAATAAACCACCAGTGGACCATGCTCTTGATCGATATTAAGAAATTATTGGCTTAAAGCAAGCTTAAAAGTGACTGAGATTACTTGCACTGAAAAATCGACCAAAAAGTGCTTGGGTAAGATTTGTGTTTTTCAAGCTCACAGTTATGATGTAATGAAACCGAGACGTTTCTCAACGTCCGGTCAACTTTTGAAAGTTGACCGGAGCATCTGAAAGCTTTACATTAAAACTCTGTGAGTTACGGGACACGAATAAAATCTTCACAATCAGAAATGCAAGACAATATGCCATTAAAGAAAGGTAGATATGCAACAACAAACTGCCTAAACTAGGCTTTATATACAGTCAAAGCAAAACCACTAGTGCTGGGACAAACCAGGCTGGACAAGGACTTAGTTAAATCTGACTAGTCCATAAAAATAATATGTTTCATACCTCTGCACATCTTTAGTACCGGTGTATTAGTAGGTGGCTCTGCAAAAAAGACACGATCTTGTTGTAAAACTTTTGACATTACAGAAGCATTTTGTTACACTAGAAAGTCCTTCAATCTCTTTGTTGTTGTTGTTTTGTACTTTGTTCCTTCTTGACAAAACTCAAACATCCCTGGAGGTGTGGCTGCTTTACTGTTACAACTTTTCTCTTTCAAATGAGAACATATTTTGCTTTCAATGAGCTCTAAGTCTCAGCAAACTATCTTGTTTTAATGAGATACTGCTCCTGGATTTATTTTCCTACCTTTGTCAGTTAAGTTCTTCCGTAGAAGCAAAGCGTTCAACATCCCAGAAAGAATTGGCTAGCTTGTTCTCTGAGCGTTCCCTGTGATTAAAAACGCCAAGTCAGGAAATTTATTAGCATTTGCTCATTCTCAGTGTCAAAATGAACTAATGTTAGCCATGTGAGCTAACAACAACAACGTAGCAATAAAAGTCAAAAACAATCTCATGTAGCGAGACTTTCTGTAGAACAAGTTATAAAGTTGTCTGTGGGATTGATTTAATGGGGAACAAAATAAACAGTTTTAGCAGTATTGGATTTGGAGGTCAGAGTTTGCCAAGACGCTGGAAGCAAAACTTTTGGATTCACTGTAACGTTTTGTTTTTTGGGAGGTTTTGTTTTTTTGGGAGGGGACCGGAAAGTTCTAGAAATTCTAATGGCAAAGCAGATGGACGACATTTAGCTAGCTGGTTAGCATGCTAATATTAGCCTTCAGCTCAAGCAGCAATGATGACAGAGCGGCTAGCTTGACTGCCGACTCGCAGTTTTTACGGTTTCTACGGATGACCTTGAAAGTGAAGTTTGCACTTGGTTGAAATGAACTACGTGCGGCTGAAGTGAATTTAAAAACAAGCTTTTCCTTGAAGTACTCAGATCCAGAGAATGCCGATGCTCTTAGCGAGAATGCTAGTGCTAGCATTCTCGCTTCTTTTACTTCATTTACTTTAGTGAAGTCCTGGGTACATTACAGCTGTATTACAAAACTTATCACTCTCTCTATATAAAAAAGTTACATTTATATACCAAGTTATTTAAAAGTCTATTATTCCAGTAATTCAGCTCTCTGAGGGAGCAATATTATATAGATGACACAGTTTTCAAGGCGTTGTTGACATTATATTTCCTCTTTCAGCTCATAAAAAGAAGATTATGGAAATATTAGAGAACTATGTCACTATATAAAAATGAACAGCCTTGTTAATACCTGCTTACAGGTTTTTTATCTTCAACTCTTGATCTGACATCATCAGAGCATGCATTGTGATTTTCTAAATATGGCTTTGTACGACCCAACCTTATCTCTGTGTAATCCTCTGTTTCTAAGCGTCAAAAGGTTCACTGAACCACATCCGCTTGTTAAAAAGAGATGAATGAACATATCGGACGACTCGTTACAAATGGTTTGTTGGTGTCGTACAGCTGAGCAGCACCGATGAAGCGATATCCAAGCCTGGGGTATCGTCTCTGCTTTCTCCTTTTCCAGAGGAGACTCCACGGATCGATAGAAGACCCTGACTGCGGGCCTGCTGATCCTCGCCTATTTAAGAATGCATTTCGCGGGATCTGGCCCATTTCTTTCAATTAACGGTCCTTTCAGCCGGCCAGCCATTAGAGGTCCATTAGAGACCCTACGCCCTGGGAGAGTCGCTCAGCCTGCAACGCTGCTCCGTTGATATAACAGGAGCTTCTGGGCTCTGCACTGGAAACATAATTAACCTTTTTAATTGTTTCCGCTGAGGCGGCTGTGGACTGAGCTGCATTCTCGTCTTTGTATTTAAACTTGTTTTTGCTTTTTTTTCCCCTCCCCTTGTAATTCTGCACCAATTAGAAATTCTGGGCTGATTTCTGATGTTCGGTTCGTGTAAATCTTTTCCCCTTCAGACACAATTGTAGTGGTTGACGGTTTATTAATTTAAAGGGCAAAATTGCAAGCCTTCCAACCGGTATTAATTATTTGGATCGGGACCAGAGATCACATTCCTACGGAGCATTTGGGAATTTCTTCTTTTGCGTTACTTAGCAAAGAATCAAGGCTACCCTTAAAAATAAAATAATAATAAAAATAATAATAATGATTGTCATAAAATTACCAAAAATAAAGTTGTATGAGAATAAAGTTGAAACAATGTGAAAATAAAGTCATAATATTTTGAGAATAAAGTCGAGAGTAAAGTCGTAATATCACCAAAAGGCGGTCATAACCATATGAGAATATTTCGAGAACAAAGTCGTAATGTTGTGACTTTGCTCGGGGTCTCTGGAGCATCCCACCACGTAACATGGGCCAGGTTTCCAAATCAGATGCTGACATTAATGTTAGCTTGACGATGTGATTTGCAGCCTCACAGTCTCCCGTCTGCCACCTTCCTGCCCAGGATCTCCTGGGTAATCGTCTGCGACGTCTCATCCATCCCCGCGTGACTCCGCTTGTCTTTGATATCTCCCAGGTTCGTCCCGGCGAGCAAGTCGCCATCAGCGCCAGCGTGCTGAGCACAGAAGACGCCGATACCCCCGCGGAGGAGCTGGTTTACCACGTGGAAATGCCGACCAACGGGGTGGTGACATTAAAACAGGAGCCGAGGGAGAGCATCCAGAACTTCTCCCAGGCTCACATAAACAGAGGGGAGATCATCTTCACCCACCAGGGTTGGGGCCTAGTTTTCTTTATTAAATGAACTTCATGTGCTCCCAATTCTCTCTTTAATTTGCTGGAATGCGCCATCACCAAGTCCCTGCACCTTTTAGCATACACTGAGGCTCCAGTGTGAACCCTTGATCATCACTTTTCCACTTTACTGTGATACATAAATGTCTTATTTATTGAATTTTTTTTTGCTTGTCAAGGTTACAGACCTTCAGCAAACTTTTTATTACATGCTGCTTTTACGACGCAGCAAATGTAACGTTTAAAAGGAAAAGGGGAAAAAAAGAATGCCAAACGCCTCTCTCTCCTCCTGCAGGCGAAGAATCCGGCGAGTTCAGCTTCACGGTGACAGACGGAGAGCACACGTCTCCTCTCCATCGATTTGTCATCAAGGCCAGGCCTCACACCATCACCTTGGAAACGGGGGAGGAACTCGTGGTGTTCCCAGGTAAGGAGAGGAGGCTTCCAGATTTTCAGCGGCGAGGCGACGGATGTGGTTTCGTGACCGAGCAGGCGGGCGTGACGCAGAGCCAAGGATTCAGAACGTTTTGTGGAGGAGATGAGGATGAGCAGGAGTGATTTGCTGAATGAATGAATGAATTAACGACCGCGTGATAATTTGGCGGAGGTGGCCAGAGAGGTCAGTGAGGTCGTGGATTCATGCAGGGCTGTGAAGCTCCTTTCAAGGCGCTTTGCAAAAATATCCGCGTCCCCTGCATTTCTTCACATAATGTGTCATGTATTTTACCGAGCATCGGTGTGTTTGACTACCACGAAGAAAATTAGAGTGGAGAGTCAAACCTCACATTCTTACTTCTCACGGCTTTCTTAAAAAAAAGAAAAAGAAAGGAAAGAAGACGTCAGTCCAGAGGAATGTGTCCCAGAACTGCTTAAACTTAAAAAAAAAAAAAACGTTCACATCTCTTTAAACATTAAAGGGGAAACTATTCACAATTAGTGACAATAAAAAGCTGTGCGACTGTAAAGTTGCACAAACACCAGAATGGGTGTAAACGTTGAGTTTACTGGGAGCAGTGATTGTTTTCAGACTTCTATTTGCTAACGTGCCGCTCTGTGTTCTTGCTTTTACCAATGTTGTGCTTCTCCATATTTAATGCTGTGGCTAAAATACGACATGACGTGAAAAAGTTGTGAAAAGAGCCATAAATGCATATGTTTGGAAACAACTCCTGTCAGACGCCAAACGTGTTGGGGGTAAATCTCGTCAAACAGCGCCACTTAATGGACACAAGTGGTAATTGCAGTGTCATGCAGTTTAAGCATTTTCTAAAATGCTCATTTGGACAGATTTAAGTTTCAAGGAGCTGCTTTTAGCTTTAATCAACATCATTTACTTAGCTGGATGCTACTTTTGAAGTAATCTCTTTAATAGTTATGCTTGTTTTTGTTTTGGGTTTTTTTGTTTTTATTTTAATGTGTATGCTTTGTTTTACTTTTGGAAATTCAAAGTTCACACACACACACACTTATGTAATGTCTTATTTAATAACTTAAATTAAAATTATATTATTTTATTTATTTAAATAATCACTTATTTTCTGCGCCACGCATCTTATCCGTTGTCACATTTCGTTTAATTGATTTAATTGAGACATTTAATTGAAATATTTTTTCAACCTTGGATTATGAGGTTTAAGGAGGATGTGGTGCACAAGAGACTACTGTCCACACAGACATTTCTGTGTCTATGTGTCTTTTCAGGAACACGACAGGTCATCAAGGCCGCCAACCTCAAAGTGGGAACCGGCGAGGACGGGAACGAAGCGAGCTTCCTGCTCGTCCGCGCGCCTCGTTTGGGAAGGCTCATCCTGGCCATTGAGCGGAACCAGTTTGTGGAAACTATCTTGTTCTCGCAGTCACAGGTAACTTTGAGTGATGTTTAGATTGTTTCCTAAAAGAGGTTGAAGAAGAATTAACTGTCCCACTGTCCGAAGGGACATACGTTTTAGGGCCTTTGTAGATAGAAATAAAAAAAGGAGTAAATTTATGCCAAGAAATTCAGACATTTTCAGACTAATCTCTGAAATCTTGAAAAGAAAAAAAACATGGGAATTTCTGAGCTTGAAAAGTTAGCAATTTGCCTGAAAAAAATCTCAAATTGTGAGATAAACCTTAGAATTTGTCTTAAAAAAAAAACTTTAGCAGAGTGGCAGGATGATATTTTAACATTAGAAACCAAATTTAGTTTTAGATTTTTAAGATTTTATTTACAACAATCACAAATCACCGGTTCCACATAAATACCTTCATCCATGTCTTTGAATTTTGGTATGTACACAGAAATAAGTCTGCCTCATCACCTGTTAGCCTTCCAAACCGAGTCCAGCTATAACAGAGGATAGCAAAACATTTTTTTTTTTTGGAAAACTAGAAGTAGATCATTGTTGTGCAAGTCATAGCAGAACTACCAGATTTGTCCAGAAACCATTAATATTCATCCAGCCTATCTACATTGTGAAGATAACTGGGAAAAAGAGAACAGCATTCTATTTTAATAATTCAGTCATGCAATGATATAAGATCACATTTTACTGCCGCTTAAAGATTTGTGAAGGACAAAATGGTAAAGTATCAAAAAGAAGCTTGAGTTCAGCAAATGAAACTTTTAAAAACATTTAAACATTAAAAGCATTTCAGAGTTTTAAACAATCACTTATTCTAGCGTATTGTGGAGTTTAAGGATCCCGATGCTGGCCAGCCAATACAGACATTCACCCAGAAGGACCTGGATGAAGGTCGTGTAGCAATGGAAATACAACCTTCATCCGGGTCGTATTTGATACGACTTTTGATCTTGATACTGCCTCAAGATCAAAAGTGAAGGGTAATCCGGATGAAGCTCGGTTCCTGCTAAAAGCCCGTGGAGTCCCTCCAGCAGAATGTGTCCTTTCCTTCCGGACAAGCCCTTACAACACCTCTGCAGTTTATCATATTACCCATTTTCCTGTCAATTCACTATCAAATATAGGAAACTGGAGCCAATAAAACCTTTAATAAAACATGTAACTCAACATTAGCTATCCCTGTTTTTCTCTTGATGCCCAGTTGGAGTCTGGAGCAGTCTACTATGAGCACCAGCTGCCCACCGAGCCTTTCTGGGTGGTCAGAGACTCCATGGAGTTCACTGCATCGCCCCAGGCTTCTCCAGACGTCCGGCACGCGCTGCCCATCACAGTCTCCTACTATGCTGCTCATAGCAACATTTCTTCTCAGATGTGGAGGAACAAAGGTAAAATAAAAGTTTTTTTTAGTAGTAGTAACGTGAACATTTAAGCTCTAGGGAAAAAAAAAAAAACTTGTTCTGCGATGGACTGCCGACCTGTCCAGGTTGTACCCCGTTTCTTACCCGAAACGTCTCTCTGGAGATAGGCACCAGCTTTCCGATCCCACTAGGGACAAAGGTGTAAGAAAATGGATGGCTGGATGGAAAAAAACTTGATATATCGTGTAGTCTAACCATGGTAGAATTTAGAATTGATCGATCATCTTTGAAACCAAAATTTATCCTCAAACGCCTTGTTTTATTTTAGAAAGAAAGTATTTTGAGTAATCCTTCTTGAAGACTGCCAAATCTAGCTATAGTCTAACTAGTGTCTTTGCCTACATGATCTGTTATGATGTTTGAAGGCTGTAGCTCATTTTTTATTTTAGAAAGATTTCCTTGTTTTAACTGGAACTGAACAGTCCAAAGTCATAAAGAGGATTGACCAAGCCTGCTTTTGCTGCTGCCACCACAAGCTCCATCTGTCTCTGCAAACATTTTGACACGAGACTGTAAAAGGAGACAGTCTGACCCCAATGTTGAGGATATTTACATATGATATTTGTATGATTTTGAGATTTTTACTTGTGTTTTTCTCCCTCAGGGCTTGAAATTGTGCAGGGTCAGAGGAAAGCAATTGACAATTCCATTCTTGATGCCTCCAACCTTCTGGCAAGTCTGCCTGAAGAGAAGAAAACGGACGCGGATGTTGTTTTTGAAATAAAGCGCTTCCCTGATCATGGTCGTATCACCCTGCGGGGTGAGGATCTACCCCGAGACGATCCGCTCTTCACACAATCAGACGTGTCTCAGGGAACGTTAGAGTATCTTCACGATGACTCCGGGCCACTTTTGACAGCCTTGCTTTCAAGGCCTATCTGAAGTTAGGAGGTGGTGGTAAGAACTACCCTGCTGAGTCCGTAATCCTGGATGAGATCTTTCATATTTCAGTCAAACGACGTGGTTCCAACCCTCCTGAATTAGTCACTACAGATATGCTTCTGGAAGTTCTCCAAGGCTCCAAGACCTCACTAACCCAGAAGCATCTCAACACCCAAGATGAAGATAATCCACCAGACGAGGTGCTCTTCAAGGTGACCAAAGCCCCTCGTAATGGCTATCTCCTTAACTCTGTTACGTCAGAACCTCTCTCTGAGTTCACTCAAGAAATGATCAATCGCGTAGAAGTGGCCTTCCAGAGTGACGGCACCCTTAAAGACGGATTTGTGGAATTCACCATATCAGACGGCGAGCATGAAACGGAGCCGCACACACTCCACATAGGAATCTTAGCTCGCACCCTGCTTCTCAAACAAGTCCCAGAGATCAAGGTACGACAGGGAGACGATCAGATTCTTGTGACTGAGGAGATGTTGAGTGCCTCTACAGGTGGTCCTGTTGAGGAGGACATCCTTTATAAAATCACCAGTACTCCAAAATATGCGGCTGTCATGGTAGACAGGCAGCCTACATCTGCCTTCACCCAGAAGCAGATCAAAGAAGGAAGAGTCAGTGTCCGTTTTGTGAAGTCCACTTCACCCCGAGACAGTGTTTTGTTTACAGCCCGTAGCCGGGCTGCCAATGTCTCCTCTGTCCTCAACATCACTGTCCAGCCTCTGGCTAAAATTGCTCAAAATCCTTTGTTACCTCAAGGCTCACTTGTCCAGCTGGACAGAAAGCTTTTGGATGCATCGCCCCTAGCCAACAAGACAAGAGCCTCACCCACATTCACAGTCATCCAGCAGCCAAGAGGAGCTCGTATTGTGGAGTTTAAGGATCCTGATGCTGGCCAGCCAATACAGACATTTACCCAGAAGGACCTGGATGAAGGTCGTATCGCAATGGAAATATATGATGCTGCCTCAGGATCAAAAGTGAAGGGTAATGAGGATGAAGCTCGGTTCCTGCTAAAAGCCCATGGAGTCCCTCCAGCAGAATGTGTCCTTTCCTTCCAGACAAGCCCTTACAACACCTCTGCAGTTTATCCTGCCACCCTGCTAAAGAATCCTGATGAAAGATTCAAACCCCCAGGAGATGGAGTCACCCCATCATCCCCTGACTCTGGTAACCATGGGAAACCACACGTTTCCCGACGTGGAAATTTTTGGTCCATCTTCATTCCCATTCTAGTTGTCCTCCTTCTCTTACTACTGGCAGGCGTCTTGGCCTACTATCTAATCCGTAAGAACAAGACAGGAAAACACAACGTCCAGACAGCGGCCTCAAAGCCCAAAAACGGAGAGGTGGCCACAACGGAAACCTTTCGCAAAACGGACCCAGCCAACAACATTCCTATGTCCAATGTGGACTCTAAAGGGGCGGATCCAGAGCTGCTTCAGCACTGTCGGACAACGAACCCGGCCTTGAAAAAGAACCAGTACTGGGTCTGAAACACTTTGATTTTGGACATAGAAGGAGGTGGACTTCATTTATGTTGGTGTTTAAATTTTCCTACAACAGTTTAAATGAAACACACTTTTGACGCATTTTTTTCACTGACTTCTCTCAGAACAGCTGTGGACAAATTCTCAGGCATGAAAACACTGAAGATGTATTGGCAAAGAAGGAAGTGATCTTTTACATTCAGAGGGCTATCGCTAACGCCATGTCTATTTATTTCCATTGTGCCATTCCTCACTGTCAAAGAGCACAGACACGACATGAACATGCAAAGTGTTTGCAAAAAAAAGTACTTTCTATGTGCTCAACTATTGTATCAAACATCATATAGGCAAACATTAATCATGCTGATAGGTACGAATTTCAGTGTTGTTTTTTAAACTATGTTTTGGATAATCAGGATACTTGATCAACAAAATATATGAGTAAGAAGTGACATTGAGGTCAGTGTACGCTTACCGTATCCGCAGTCAGAAGCTCTTAATCCAGTAGAACCCCTTAGTGGTGTGATGTAACAATGGCGTGGTGGATTATGAATGTGTAGCTGACAATTCAGAATCTCAGGAATATTAAGAACACCTTAGTGAAGATTTACCAAAAAGAATTAAAGCAGTTCTGAAAAATAAAGACACTTATACCGTGATACTGGCAAGGTGTAGCACATAATGTAGCTTTGGAGTATAAGGTACCTTAATTTTGCTTTATTTCTGAAAATCGAACCTCAATTATTCAATTCAAAATACTTTATTATTCACTTTCTGTCTAGAAACCAAAAGATAGATGCCACTTTCACAGCTGTGTCTACACACCACTGCATCACATTCACACCTAAAGTTTAAGGTATTCTCTTGTCATTTTTTTTATGCTAAACTAAGCTAAGCTAACAATAGCTAGCACCTAACATCTTCTGCCAAGCTAATGCTTTTCCCATAGTAAGCACACGTCAGACAGGAGTTAAAAAGCAGCACTTGAAGTCAAATTGCACAAATCTAATCCACTCCAGCTCCCGGTCATGTTGACATCTGTTGGACTGCAATGTTGCCGCGCGTTTCCAAAGAGCTTGTGGAAATCTGTTGGACTGGAGAAGCAGAACAGAAACATTACTTTGGTCCTGCAATATTTACGCTGAGATATATTTAATCTCAAACCGAAAGGCACAAAAGATGAAAATGACCGTCAACCTCCTCAGCTCGTTGGGTTGTTAATTTTTAATGACAAACCAAAAGAGCAACTATTTTTAGTAGAAACATTCCTTATTTTAGTCTCGTTGAATATACAGACTCATTTTTCATAAAATACAATTTTTTTTAATTCTTTAGTTTTCTTTTATCGCATGATAAAGACTTTTTTTAAAAAAAGGTTGGTACTGTAAATCACAAAGTTTTCTGCTAAAGTTTTGACCCGTTGTGCCTAGTCAATCATTTTAATTTAGAAGTAGAGCAAAATGAGCTGCTATTTTTTTTTTCCTGTACCAGAATTGCCTTTTTCACAAGCCAAATAGTAATTTTGTTGTGTTTTGTTTCTTTACATTAGCCCTGATTTGTTGTTTAACAGCCTCCAGGAGTAATAATAGATGCAACACAGGAGCTTCAAAGCATTTAGGCAAGTTGTATTTCAGTGATGACGTAAAATAAAGCTTCTCCCCTCAGGATATCCCATTTTGGTTTATGTGTAAATATTGCGTTTCAAAATAAAAGTCTTTGGTTTTCCTAGTAAATGAACAGATTTTCCATATCGGAATATACATGTAAAGAGAACAAGTAATTATATTAAAACTGACTGTTCAACGTTGATATATGTATATGTTTGCGAGTCCATCCCTTTTATGTGTCAGTTGTTTTGTTGGGGTTTTTTTTTGTTTGTTTTTAGTCCACTGCAGCGTTTCATGACCGTGTCCTCGCATTTTGTCGTTATTTATTAAGTCGCCCCCCCCATTCATCAGATCGTGTTTTCGTGCGCTTTTGTTCTTTCGCCGTCTCCTGCAGACGCCTTCAAGTGGAAACGTTTCTGGACCAAATGCAACGTCAGGACCGCAGCGTGTCTCTGACTCTGTTACAGGCGCTAATGGAAATAAAATGTCGACGCAAACAAACCGTGTGCTCATTGTTTCCTTCGTGGCTTTTGTTGGTCATAAAACTCAATGGCAATACCCTGTTTTTTTTTATTTTTGTTTTTGTTTTTATAAAATAAATAAATAAATAAAAAATCTCAAGTTTGGTTTATTGCTTTTTTTTTGTGGCTGCACATGTTGATGCATTCGTGGTGAAGTGCATTTTAATATCTACCACATGGAGAGACTCCAATAAACATCCTTGTACAAGTTTGTTGCAGGACCTCGAATTCACAGAAACACAGACATTAATCTTTTGAACCAGCAGGGGGCAGTGCGGTGTAAAAAGCTCTTGGATGGGGGGGTTGGTGAGGAAACTTGAGCAACGTTTCAATTTGTCATGATTTAAACTTCACTTCAAGCCATCATTCTTTCCACTGAATGGCCTTTGCTTTAAGCATGTCTCCCAGCTTTTCTTTTTCCTCCTTCCCCCCCCCCGTCTGTCTCCGGCTTGCCTTTGGCCTCGCTTTAAGAACTAGTCCTGCAGGTTTCATAAGCTGCTTGGCACAGCTGTTCCTCCACATGTGTCTGCTGAGGTCACCGTCTCTGAGCAGCGCGTTGCTCGTGCGCAACAAGCCTCCTTGTGTTTTAACGGCAACTGCCTTCTGTCAGCAGAACAGTTGCCGAACCCACGACCCGAAAAATCGTAAAAGCGAGCGAACAGAAACCGGAGCGCCCGCAGGCTCCAGCTTCACTCTCAACAGCAATGTGGATTTTCTTGTCAAGTAATTATGTCAGCAGTTTGACCAGGTGAGGCTGAAGTCATACTTGGGCAGCAACTCACAATCTGAAAATGAAATATTCAGAAATGAGGCAAACTCAGCACATTTTTCTTGACGTTTAAAGGGTCAAATGTGGCGTTTTTAAAAGCGTGTCTCTGGGAAAATATTGGATTAAAAATATATATGGCCAGTAAAAACTAGCTCCCTTTGAATCCACAACATATGGAAGACGAGAGCGGATGTTTTCCGCATATACTTTTTTTAAAATGGTTTTTGTTTAAGCTCTTATCCCAAGAGAACTATTATGAATTCAGCTGGTTCTTTTGAAAAAAACCACCGTGAAACGAACTTCTCTTAAGAAAACCATCCGGAGGGAAAACGTATACGCGGTAAACGCCTAATCTAGGCTTCCGCAGCAAAACAAGTTAAACCATTTTGTGAGATTCTTTTTCTGCTTATTTCATTTCCAGAATCTTAAAATGTAGGTTTTATAAATACTAAAAGGTAAGGAGAAAATTGTTAGATGTCTCCGTGTGAAATGATACCTGCAGGATATGAATTTCTGACTAACAGCAACGAACAGTGTTTACTTTAGTCTCTACAAGCTTCGACTTGGACTTGGGGCAAAAGAGAGAAGATTTGAATTAGTTATGGGATGAAAGACTATCAGCGTGCCCCAAGAAGACTGAAGACTTGGTTTGGTTTTTGAACAAATTTGTGAACTTTTTACACAAACGCATAATTATATTACAATATAAATCACATAAAAGCAAACAACCCACTAAGGATGATCACATATCAACCTAACGACACTGTCAAATTTCCAAATAGCTGCACTGCTCCTTATTTGGCATCCCATATGTTCTGGCTACATCACCACCAATGTTAAAGTTCATTTCTGTCACTTAAATGTTTATATAAAAAAATATTCCACAGTCCAGTAATTATGTCATGTTATAAAAATGCTGAGTACATACAAGCATGACTTAGAAGAAATTTGATTTTGTAATTTAACGCCGTGAAACCATTTGTGTCGCTGTCTCTTTAAGAAACTCCTGCTCTTTCTGAAACTCCGCCTTCAGGCTGGGGTCACCCAGGCACAGCTGAATGGTTGCCACAGAGATTAAAGGACTTCTCCAACTTGCATAAAAGAATCAAAGCAGCACTACAGGTCTGCGTTTGATGAGGGAATAACGTTATAGCATGATTTGAAAAGTTGATTTTACAAAATACTGCCCCTTTAACGTTGCACTTTCTTTTGTTTTTAGCGCTGCAGAGTAAGCGGTACCTGTGCTCCAGCAGCGCAGCATGCCAACCTGAAACACAGCAAAGAACTTCAACTTCTATTTCAATATATAAAGACCTACGGCTCTCCAAGTCACGATTTGGCTTCCGATGGATGGTTTTCTTGTATTTAAAGCTGGAAGCTCCAAAAGTTTGACTTCTGAGAATAAAGAGAATTTACATTGGGCCAAAATACCAGAGAGGAAGTAAGGATTTTTGTGATGATCCAGTTATCATCATATCATCCCGTTCCTCCAAGCTGGGGTTTTTAATTCCTCCCTATATCTAAGAGCGTATCTTCTCATTGCAACTTTTCACGCTGGGTTTCTCTTCCAGCACACAGACTGCAGATCTGGCACAGCAGTGAGTCTCATTCCAGTCGTTACCTGATCCCTAACATTAACCTCTGTCTGAACCGGCTTTCTTCTGGGATATTCATCCGATGTATCCTCCCAGACTTATAGCAAGCGTGATACCATTTCTGGTTTAACGCCTTTGCTCCTTCAACAAAAAAATCTGAAAAAGGGCAACGCTGATTTGAGAACGTAATCTCTTCCTTTGGTTCTGAAAGGACACAGACTGGTTTTGGGAACCAGTTTTCTTCTGCAATCACAGAGATCTCTTGACCTTCAACCACTGTTGATTGCAGGCTTGTGTAAAGCTTAATCAGATAGCCAGGCCTGTGATTGGGAAGAGGCTGTCCTTCCTCCCAGTAGGCCAGCAGGAATGAAAACAACCAGCGAAGGAAGCACAATCAATTCTTCGGATAGCATTGGGTCAACCCTGACTGTCAGAGACTTGGGGAGGGAGAATGTCTGTGGAGCTGCTTATGAAGCGTCAAGTAGCGTCAAAGCAACAACTCATGAAAAATGCAAGGTTTTTACTCTATGTCTTCTATCCCAGACACAATTCTTTATCCACCAGAAACACCAAACAGTACAACCAAAGATTTAAGCACGTATGCCAGCATTACTCCACTAAAAAGGGGTCTTTGTTTGTTTATAACCCTCTATATGCAGACTTGTGTTGACATTAGACTTTCCTCTCTGAGTCAGCTGCTGCAGAAGTGATATGTCTGTTTGCTTTGGACGTCATTCAGCTGCATTATTTACATACTCAATGAGCCGACCTCACACACCAAAGGGAACTCAGCGAGACGTTTGTCAATCCTCGCCACACTTCCCTCTCTGCCGTAACAGAAAGTCAGAGGCCTCACCTCGCCTCGGCGCTGATTGGTGCGTCACTTTTATTAGATCCAATAGTGAGCTGTGACTTCTTCCTCCTATCAGGCTCATGTGATTGCTTGCAACTTCCTGCTCGTCTTTACTTGGCCGACACACAATTTGTGTTGAATCTGCTGGCATTCCGTGCCTCACGGCTTGGAAATTTTGCCCCGGGAATATCGAGCGCAACGGTTTTGTAGTGGCCAAAATTACAAGGATTTTTCTGTCATGCGTCATGTATCTTTTCCAGCGCTGGAAATAAAAGGAAATCAGCTGAGTCCTAACAACAGTCAAATGTGTGCTTCCAGAACAAACACATTAGAGAAAACGGGGCGGGGTGATGTCATTGTTGCTTGTGGAACAGCATTAAATCAGTAGTACATAAAGTAGTCCGACATGCGTTTGGCCACTTTGAGCTCCCACACATTTTGCAAAATAAAAACAATCCTAAAAGCTCAATAATACTATGAAATTATGAGGATCGATATCTTACCTTGAGCAGGTAATAGTCTTTGTCTTCACTTTGTCGTGTGAACGTTGCGCAAACAACCCGTAAGAGTTGAACGTGAATATAAAGTCTTTGACTGTTCAGTCAACATTCCTCTCACAGTGGGACATGTATACCATGTAATTAGAAGGACCTCTTTGTAGGACGCTCTAATGACTGGGAAGTGAATATGCTATGCAGCGATTACTCTAATATGTTCTTCTTTAGCAGAGGAGCTGAAAGGTTCCCACATGGCCATTTCTGGATAGAAAAAGCAACACCAGCAAGGCATCGACCAAAAATGTTACTGAAATGCAAACTTAGACTGTAATACTTTCCCGCATCAAACAGAGTAGTTGTTCTTTAGCTCTTTTGAGCTTTACATCATGTTATAATATGATTCCTTCATTAAAAGCACACATGGAGGGTTGCTTTGTTTCCTTTATACATGTTTTGAGCTTTGTTTAGGGGGACCATTCACCACCTCCGAGAACGAAGTTTGTCCTCGGAGCTGAAGTTTCAAGGTTTCTGGGCTCCTGGCTCACAGAGCCCTCTTCCCCCGGGACTCTGCCACTCAGCTCCTTCAGACTAGCCAGTATCAATTAGCAAATACCTGCTGGAACTGTTCGCCTGCTGAGCTCATAATCGGAGCGACTTCTCAGCTGAACGATGTTAAAAACATTGTTAAAGGGTTACAAGAGGAGTGGTGTGAAGACTTCCTGAAGGCAGAGCAAAGACAAATTTCTTTAAAGTCTTACTTGACATATATAGTGTTTTTATAACATACTTTATTACAGCATAAAATGGCACTATGTGGCTGGAAAAAACATAATACAGTCCCTTTAAGTCTCTGTACTCAGCATAACGCTCTATTTTCAGTCTAACTCCCATGAGTTCTGCCTTGTTTTCAGTCACTTTCAGGGCCTGATGGGAACAGATGACTCCATCCATGTTTCCCTCTGTGTGA